AAAACCTCAATTAGGCACCTCCTCCGCGGACTACTGGTCCTGACACAATGCACAAAAATAGGACGAAAGGACCAGCAGCCCGCGGAGGTGGACCTAATTAGGGTGTTCGTTCCTCTACCCCTTTGTGATAATCAAACACTCGGAAACGAATAAAATAGATGAAAAAATAAACGAAGAGAATGAACAATTTCACCATAAAAATTACCTCAGGATGAACTTTCGATTTGCTTGGCGACATGTCTACTTTGTCAGGTTTGGAAAACCGTACGAGAAAATCTTTAGCAGGAGCAGCGGATCCTTTGACTTCGAGTACTTGAGAAGCATCTAGAAAAAAATATGACGTACTTCTGAATAATAACCAAAAAAGACAGGATAGTTATGAACCAAGTAACGCAAAGTTCTGAAGTTTTTCTGAAAGAGAGTCAGCTAAGCAAGACAGAGCAGAATATTAGATGCATACTGTATTTAGGGTCCCATGATATATGGCAAAGATGCGGATTTTCGACTTTTTGACGGCTTACAAAAAATAAATAAGGAATAAGAAAAACATTATGTGGGTAAGGAGATACCTTCAGCGCTGACGAGCTTCGCTTCAAAACCCATGTCATCCACGGCTTCGACTACTTGGTCGTCAGTTAGTACAGTAGGGTCATATGTGAATACACCTGAAAGCTGAGAATCGGGAATCGGGAAGTCAAGATCTCGATAATCTCACCTTCTTCCTTTTCTAGCGATACCACAACGGAATGAATCCCTGGACGTTGTGAGACAGTGTCCTGTATATTATTTACACATGCATGGCAAACCATGCCTTTGATAGATACAACGGCTTTTCGTTGCGCGCTGTTAGCGTGTAGAGGAACTTTGACATCTACAATAGCAGTAATCAAACAAGTATAACAGGAGTAATACTCACCTTTAGGTATACTTTTAACCTTCGCCTCGAAACCCATATCGTCAACGCTTTCGGCGACTTCTTCTGCCGTCCAGAGAGATGGATCGAAAACAACAACGCCTGGAACTGACATGTGTGTGGACGACAACCACAGACACTAATAAGCCAAACCTTCAGCGGCCTCTAATGACACTGTACAAGATTGGATTCCAGGTCGAGCATTCATTGTATCTTGGATATTGTTA